TTTTCTTTGGTCTTTTTCTGATTGGTGAGATATTCATATTATTTTCAATTACTTCATCTAATTTTTTGGTTATTGGTTTGAATAATTCTGAATATGTTTGTTGACTTGCTTTACGTCTGAGATCATTTTCAGTTATTTCATTACGTATACTATTGATTTTATTCCCAATATTGGTTTTACTTTCGGCTAATTCTTTCCACTTTAATAAACTCATATATATTAGTTGGATTAATCTAAATGAATATATATTATGAGAATACCTGATTACAATGTTGAAAAACGCAAAAGTGATTTCAAACAGGTTAAAGACCGCGAATATATGCCTGATGATTATTTTCGTATGTTGATATGTGGCCCAAGTGGTTCTGGTAAGACTAATTTATTGATTCATATGATTCGTAAACTGTTATATTTTAATAAAGTATTTTTATATAGTAAAACCTTGATCAAAACAAATATATGATTCAAACATTCGAGCCAATATCAGAAGGTGCAGGTTATCCTGTTCTTGAAGCAAGTAATGATACCATAATTACAGTATCTGAAATGAATAATAAACCACAGAAAATTGTCATATTTGATTATTTCGTTTGTGAAAAGAAGCAAAAACCATTAATTGAGTATTTCATTGGAGGAAGTCATATAAAATGCTTAGTCATTTACTTAAGTCAGAGTTATTTTGGGACTCCAAAAGACATAAGATCTAATTGCAGCCATTTTTGTATAGTTTATATGATTTCCCTGATAATAATTAAAAAAGGATGATACGAAGAGAACATACATATCGAGCAGCAACACACGATGATTATTCATTTTTATACATCGACAATCCTAGAAAAACAATTGCAAAAAACTTAAATGAACAGATTTAATACATGTAATTAATATACAATGAGTTATTCGAATGGATTGCTGAATTCCAGATCATCCGATTGTAGTGAAACATCAACAGGATAAAGAGGATTGCCAGTTAATGGATTTAAATTAACCGATGATGGTAACTAGGATATGGAAAATAAACAACTTAAAAAAATTAAATATCCAACTGATCCTCAAGATGTTTGCACAAAAGTTTACGTCGACTAATGTATTCACAGTGATGGATCAAAAACTATGTCCAGTGATTTTGACATGGGTAACAACAAAATAATAAATTTAGGTGCTGGTGGATATAAAAGACGGTGTCAATGTTTCTCAATTAAACACCAAACTTGATGAAGCCCAATTTGATACTGCAAAAAATGCTTTTCAGGCTCAATTTGAGCAATTAGACAATGATAAAGCTGATGTCGCTGATCTTGATGCTTATTTTAATATACAAAATGACAACACTATATTTGGTAAGATAACTTTTGACAGTTTTCTTACCAATAATGAAAGAAAAATAGAAAATTTAGGTACTCCAACTAATAATGGTGACGCTGTCAATAAAAAATATGTTGACGATGAAAATTCAAAACAATTAGACTCAGCTGGTGGGACCATGACTGGTGAGATAAATCTTAATGGAAAAACGATAAGAAATCCCAAACCTTTAAGTTTCAATAACACCACGAAAAGTGATCTTGACACTTTACTTAAGGAAAATCGTTCGATGTCTATTCCTGAATCAAATATTTTTCATCAACATATGCAACAAATTATCCCCTTAGATTCACTTGGAAAACTGACAGAATCTGATTATGATACTTTGAAAACTGATTCAGAAAATAGAGGACTTAATCATCAAGACTTCACTGAATTTTCAGCTAGACAAAAAAAAATATCTGAATTAAGCACACCAACCAATAATGATGACGCTGTTAATAAAATATATGTTGATGATGAAATAGCTAAAAAACTAAGTTTATCTGGCGGCACTATGACTGGTGATATAAATTTAGGCGGTAAAGCAATAAAAAATTTGAAAAACAAAAATTTTGCGGATTTAGGTGGAAATGAAAATCCAGCTCTTGGTTTGCAAGAGTATCATAATTTAAAAAACGATGTTTTATATCAAATTTTAAACCAAACTCTCAATAGGTTCTCACAAACATCAATAGATCAGATCAAAAGATCATATTCAAATTCAGTCTCAACAACAAGATTCAATGCAAGAAACAAACAAATAAAATTTGTCAGTGATCCAACTGATGACACTGATTGTTCAACTAAGAAATATGTTGATGACGAAATAGCAAATATACTACATAGTGGAACCAATCTCACCAATTATCTCAACAAAAAACAAGGAGGCAATATTGAAAAAGCTTTAAATTTCACAAGCGTTCATGGTGCTGACAGACAAATCACAGGCCTTTCAGATCAACCATTGAATGGTACTGCTGCTGTTAATGATAACAAATTATAATCTGAACTTGTTAAGAAAGCTTATTTAATCACTATAATCAATGAATTAGATGGTAAAGCTGACAAAACTGCTGTGATGCTTCTTGATGGCAGCAAATCCATGACTGGTGATATGAATTTGGGAGCTAATGAACTGCTTAATTTTAAGAAATAAAAGTTATTATGGTTTGTTAGCATCTCACTCTAGCAGGTCCAATCCCCAGCTCTCAGTTTGGCAGAATATTTCACTCTTTCAAAATTAGTATGTTATCAATATTTTCAAAAAACTATCAATGACTTGTCACAAATCGATATAACTAGTATCAAACCAACTAACAGTCCGCCAGTCGCACCCCCAATTACTTTCAAAGCAAGAAACAAACAAATCAAATTTGTTGATGATCCAAGTGATGACTCTGATTGTTCGACTAAAAAATACGTCGATGATCATATTACACGAGGTGTGAGTAGCAGACTTGACAATGATCTCAGGTATATTATGTATGATTCCGGCCAATTTAGCGATGAAGACGATATCTCCGGGAAAAAAACTGACAATAGTGACTTTCGTGAGTTTAATATTCGTGTAAAACCATTCAAGCTGAACTTGGACACTAATAAAGGTTACTATTCATCACGGTTTGATATTAACAAGAAATCAAACAAGATAGATCACAATGCATTAAGTTTAAGTGCCACAAGCTCTGTTGAGACAGTCTCAAGACAACTATTAAATCGATTTTCAAACCATGTAAGAAGTATTGTTCATATGACTAAATGGAATAATACAGCACCTAATTATTTAATGGTTGACGTTGTGATAAAAAACAAATCAGGTCAGGTATATGATCAGAACTTAGATATTTGGGTTGTCATTTACGGTTCTAAAGGTTATCACAATGACTTACCAGTTAAAGATCTTTGGGACAAATTTTATAGTGTAGTTC